CCCCAAAACCCCAAAACCCCAAAACCCCAAAACCCCAAAACCCCAAAACCCCAAAGTTGGACGTTTGAGGGTTAAAATTTTGGCTTAATGAAATAAAATACCCTATAAAATATCATTCCAAATTTTCAAAAAATCAATAATTCCAAATCTGCTGAAAAAATCCAACCTCAAAATCCCCAAAATAACTTTTTTCAAATACAAATCCCAAACCCCCAAAACCCCTCTCTCCTTACCCGACCCCCCTCTTGACTCCTCCCTTCATCCCTTCTTCCACTAGTCCTTACCTAAAATTACCTTCTTCACGAGAATCCCTAAACCAGCAGCCCCAAGCTTTGTTCGGGGCTGAAGAACAGCCTGAGGCAGAGAAGTGGGTGCCAGAAGGGGAATTATGGGATAGAGAGGGGGTATTGATAAGAGAGTGGATAATTATTGGGGTGGGCTAGTAGATGAGTTTCATCACTTCGATGGCGAACCTGTCTGTGATTAGGAAGTCGAGAGAAAGGTTACGGTTGAAAGGGTCTGGTTTCTTCTCTTTTATTAACCTCTCAAGGACTTTAGAGTCAATAAGATTTCCTGAAGGAGTTATAGCTGGATGTCTAACTATTTCATAACTGATTGGACAGACAAGGAGTTGTTCTAACTTCTCAGCAAGATCGTAGTACTTATCAAAGTACTTCTCAAGGAAACCTAAGGGTTAAACCAAATTTACATCTATGATGTTTGTCTATACATCAATGTTCACAATGATCTCTATCTTCCAGGACTATCATAGAGATAGGTCCTGATTCAGAACCTATCTTCGGAGCAGAGGGTGCGTTCTTTGCACTCTTATTAGCCAGAATCACTATGGGTTACTCAAAAAGAATACTGAGTTTCTTTAATTCTGCGCTATTTTTCTTTTCACAGATCTTTTCTTTGACCGACTTCAAGCAAATCTTTGAAACGATTGATTTGCTCATCTTTGATCCCTAACTGTTGTTTAAGGTTTCTAATCACTCCCATTCTAGAGGGTTTACAAAATACCTACTTTCTATTCAATTGTAGCTTGGATTGGTCAAGCTTTGCCTTCCACCCTGAAAGGCTGTCTAAAAATTAAGATGAGATGGAACTAAAAGGTAGAACTGAAAGATGATTCAAAATTAGACCTAATATGCTAATTCTTTCTTTGAGCTACAGAATTACACTTGAAACCCTTACTTTGGTGATGACCCCTCCTATTGGAAGCGGATCGTCCCACTCTCTGAGCTCATGGGCATCATGAGCATGTTTACATCCTTTGTCTAGGTTGAGGAGACCAGTGCATCTGTTCCATCTTGGGCAGAGTTGGGTGAAGTAGCTGCTTAGATCAGCTTCTACTTCAGATCCTTCAGATAGAAGAGATGTAGTCTGAGCTACCTTTGTGAGGATCTGACTGACCTGGGGCCAGCCTCCAGGTTGGGTTTCAGCAAGGTGAGGGTGGCTAACTTCTTTGAAGAAGTTTATTAGTCTGTGGAAGGATTTTAGATAACCTTCTCTGTTTGGATGAGAGTTGTCTGTCTTAAGTTTGGAAGAAATTAGAACAAAGATTCTACAGTTGCTATTATAAAGATATCTACCTGAATCAGTTATTTAGCTATCTCTTTATATGCTTTATTCTCTCCGACTATGCAATAATTAAGACTAATCTCTCATAAATTTGATTTGCTTCATAAACCTCTAAGAAAAGATCAAAATTAAGCGAAATAGATAACAAAAATACCAAAATCCTTACAAACCATCTCCCCAAAATCACACTATAAATACCTAAAAATCCTCTAAAAGCATTACTTTCCTACATATCCCTCTATTCACCCCTTATGCTATTATCTTTACCTTCAATTTTGCTCTGTCTCAGTCCTTCTGCCTTCCTTCCCATGGCCTTATCAGTCTGCGCACCCTTTTTCTGCCTAATCCTATACTTCTCAACCGCATAAATTTACCCTTTAAAGAAATTATAGACCTTGGCTGCTCTACCTTTAGCCTTGATATCACTGAGATTACTCTCTTTGGTCTGATTCAAAGTTTTGTTACTGGTCAACCTGGAATTGAAAGAGGATTCGAAAAATGCTGGGATACTTCTAGCATCTTCTCCTCTATTGGGACTCTGAAAGAATCGATCCATTGTGTAATTTATTATAATTTTATTACAAGCGTCTTTTTGGGAAATGGGGTTTTGGGGTTTTGGGGTTTTGGGGTTTTGGGG